AATATTAACAGAAAGAAAACGAATATTATAATCGTGACAAAGTTTCTTTGACTTATGAATCAATCCCATAACATTGGATATTCCATTGCAATTTACTATGCAAACTGCACCAGACAGTACATAATATTCATCTATCCTGGCTATGTTAGCTTCTACCTAAAACATTATTAATAATAATAATAATAATAATAGAGATCAATAATCATTAATTAATAATAATTAATAAATAACTAAAGATAATGAGTCATTTAACACGATAAAAAGATTACATTCAAAATTGTTTGAAAGAGACTTACTTCTAACAAGGTGTGCAAAGCTCTTAAGTCAAAAGGAAAAATGATAAAATCCACAGAGATATCTATCCTCGTTTTCACATCCGTAATAGATTCACACTGATGGATAGATATCTGCCACTTTCTTTCTTTTGCACTTAGATATAAGCCCTCTGATATCTTCTGGCATAATTCAGCTGGTCCTACTATCTGGAAAGAGATGTTCTAAATATAATAAATATATTTACTATGACAGTTACATATTTAATGCTGTTGATATACACAATATCCAGTAAATTGTGATAGAAACTGCACAAGAAGATAATTTTCTTTGTCTATACTTTTTACTTATTTCATTAGTGTACTTGTCGATATAACCAAAAAAAAAATAAAATAAATAAATACCATGTTCTTACAAAATGACAAAACAAATTAAAATTGAATTATGTTTTGGATATCACCATCAGACATACATGTATTATACAGATTATACTCAATTCCATCATGGTTATACCTTAATGCACCAGAAAATCAAAGCTATATGCATTTGCATTTTATAATGCGAATAAAAAAGTAAATTACAAATAACAAATTAACAAATTATAAACGACAGACACAGAGACAAGGACTACGTTCAGCAAAAAAAAAAGGAGCTTTGCAACTGTTGTAAAATTCTTGAATATGATTGATTTATACAGATCCAATTTATTTTACAACAGTTGCAAAGCTGCTTTTTCTGCTTTAAGGTGGTTCTTTGGTAAAGAGCGAAAAAAATTTGGAGTGCCTTACCAGAGGTGCCTACTCAAAATTACAAATATCTGCATAATTTGGATAAAATATTAAAACTATATGTATATCTTAGGTCTGTTTTCTGTAGCTGAACTAGTGTACACTTTTGGAACTTGAAGTGAGATGGATATATGTTTGATATTTGTTGAAAGTGAGGAAGAGAGTGCTAGTGCAGTCTAGTGCAGGAACAAAAAAACAGGCTACTTAATGAAATAGTATGGAACATACAATAGTAAATCAAGAGGCCTACTAGCTTTATCAAACACCTTTATCAAACAAAAACAACATGAGATTATGTTTACTTTTTGAGGTTAAATTTATATGCAAGTTTAGGCATATAAATATCTAAAATATCTTTCCAGAATGGCCGTTGACTTATTACCTTTTTGTGATCATTAAAATCATAATTTTTTAAACTATTATAATCTCATTTTTGAGAAAAGTCTATGGTAATATTTATGTACAATTAGTCAAAGAAGCATCTGCGAACCTTATCAGTCACTAAATTATACATAAAAGGATACTATTTCAACTCCTTTTTCTCTCTTATTTCATCATTAACCTGCTGTAAAATTTTGCACACAGCAATTTCGGTACTACACCTTCATTATATAAAAAAAAATGACATTTCTATGGTAACTCGATTTACTAAAGAACCATCTTAAGGTTGAAGTCCACAAAAAAATCTTACGTAGCATCCTAAGATCACGGTTATCACTTTTTTCCTAAAAATACGCGAAATATACAGAAGAATGTGAATAAAACTTTCTTTTTTTCTTTTACCGCCACAGACGCACCATAAAAGCAATTAGACACTCGCCTCCCCGAAATGTTCCGCTTTTAAAGATTTCGGCCATGACTGTCGACGGCTAAAGGCTTGTTCTTTCTGTTACCGCACTGAACTGCACTGAACTTCTATCACGTGAACTTCTATCACGTTTTTGCCAAACCGTAAATATATATCTATTTCAGTTTAGGTACAAGAAGTATATACTAATCCAACTGCTACAAGAAAGAACAGACACATATGTTGAGCCGATCACACCAACTCCGATAATTAAATTTCAATATTGCCAACTGCAAAACTGAAAAAAATAACCTATTTTTCTGGCAGCCGTGAAAACCGATGTTTGCGATTTGTTCGCGTTAGGCCCTGCGCACAATGAAAAAAGTATTAGGAGCAGGAATAGATATTAAGATTTCAACCTATCAGAAACCGTATATTCCGGTGTAACTGGTATCTGATAGATTAAAATCTTAATATCTATTCCTGTTCCTAATATTTCCTCCATTGTGCTCAGGGCTTTACTTGAAATTTCTAAAAATGTTTAGAGTCTCGACACAAGCTTTTGCATAACGCATAACGCATAATGCGTAAGCGAATCAACTAATCAGAAGCTTTCCTTTCCTCTCATTCCATGGAAAAGAAGAATTTCGATTGGTTGATTCCATTATGCACTATGTATGAGGCGTCGTCTACAATACACGGAGTAAGAAGTAAGAGTAATAAATTGACCAATCACAGTCGATTATTCTTCTCATTATTCGACTGTGATTGGTCAACTTCTTACTCTTACTTCTTACTCCGTGTATTGTAGACGACGCCGTAGGCCATTGTTACTATGACATGAAGTGCTTCAGAAATTCTCTAGCAAGTAACCAATCGAATTGACATTAACGTTACATAGTTGCAACTAAATTCCGCTAGATGGCGCACAATCTCGAGTTGAATTTGCGGTTATGTTATGTTCCCAGCATGTCATAATTGGTTATAACCTATCGCGATTTAAATACCGTCGCGGCTGGCTCATAAAATTTGCGTAATGGTATTATTGTCGTGACGTTACCAAGATTCTCTGCGACATGAGCTCCCAACAAATATTTCAGCTTTCTCATAGACTCAGAGCAGTCTTTAGGCCACTGACATCCAAATTTAATGAGATTGGCATTAAAATTAGGAATTATGAGATGCCTGAGAAAATTAAGGGCACATTTCTCGAACGCTGGGGTAAATAATATTACAAAATATATGGTTGAATTATCACATTCTAGTTATTTAAGTAATGTACAAATAGTTTTATTGTTTTACAGCGAAATATTGGCATGGTCTGTATATAGATTACAAGGACGTCGCATTAGATGTAGTCAAAGATTGCACAGAGCGTCCTGTACATGCTACAATATATATTACACGTGCGTATTGTTTTTTGAGTGTCCGCAGATTATGTCACTTTCAAGATGTGATATTTATATAATGTGTAATAATATTTATAATATATCTGTGAGAAAAATTCATATTACAGTTCTAGGAAGCTGCTTTTACTCTAATCGACACAATCCAGATGAAACTATGTTCAGGGAACAATTCATACAAAATAGTATAAAGTTAATACAAGTAGGAGAACCCATACGCAATCCTGTCTCTGTACAGCACATAAAATGGTTGGAACAGTGCTACAATGAAGGATTAATCAGGAGGCTAAATCTAGGAGTTTTGTCTCTGATCTGGTTGGATAATTATGACAAAAATTATTCCTCATACAAGGCTGTCTGCCCTTACTTAAAACCACGATATGTAACTTTCTATGAAAGAATAATGGATGTAGGCTTTCTAGAAAAGTGGTGGATATTAGATAGGAAGATGAAAGACTATGATGTAAACGAGGCCGAATTCTGTGTTGCAAAAACTGTAAACAGTACAGGTACTGTTTCAGCAACATGTTAAACTTTGATAGGAAACAATTGTATTATTTATGTAAAAAAATATATACATTTTTTAAGTTTCGAAAAACGAGTATATATATATATATATTTGTAAATTAACAACTAGGATACAAAAGATCTTAATATAAAATCTGTGTAGTAAACCAACTGTATTTGCGAATGTACAGGCACAATTGTTAGAATTGAATAAATTGAGAGATCATAATAAATCATCTCTCTTCTGTTCAGAATATATGATTAAGGCTACGGTCCACTTGATGCTACAAATGCTTCGAAGCATTTTTTGATTGGTCAGTTAATAAAATTCTTTCGATCGGTCAATCAAAAGTTTCGAAGCATTTATAGCGTCAAATGGACCGCACCCTAAATTCAATAGAAAAATATTTTAAAATTTATCCAAAATATATTAATTCAATGACTTAGAATAGATCGATAATGTCTGAGAAAACAAGTTAAATGCACCAGCATTTACTGTAATTCTTTTCTAAGAGAAATCTAGTTGTACTCACAAGATCCTTTTTCAGGATTTATATCGCGATATATCTTCTTTATAAGTTTCCTAAATATATAGACATTTTATCGAATTGTTTTACAAAAATATATGATACCTACGTTTATTTATATTACTAGATAGATATGATTTATCGTTATACAATTTTCAAACAGTTTTCATTCACGAGACAGCAGTTAACCATCTAAAATGTAATCAGTTTTATTTTAATATTAATTGCTATGAACAGTATTAATACGAAATCTATTGTATCGTTGATACATTACCAATTTTTGCGTAAACTAACGCTGTACGGCGCGGAATGTAGATCATCATTTTGTTTTGATATGCAGAAAATGATTCTGGTTGCGTAAAATGTTGCACACTCGTGTCTACGCGACATTCCCCTCCAAATTGTTCATTGTCACTGCACAAAACAATCTTGTATGTTCCTGGATTTTTTACACCGACCGGATAATCCGCGAACGATTTGACTGGATGAAAGTTAAAGACGAATGTGAGATCACTTCGGTCAAAGACGATCACTTTATCATCTTCGTGCTTCCAGCTCACATAGCCCTATAAATTCAAATATCACTCTTGAGTCTTTAAATTTCTTTATTTCTTTATTATCGAACATCAAAATCACTCAAATAATGACAAAAACACGAATTTATAAAGCTACTTACAGGATGGGCATGCAACCATCCATACTTCTCTTCGAGCATATTCACAGCTCGATCCCAATTATTCATATATTTATACTTCAATAATTCATCATCCACTAAATTCCACTGACGTCTGGCATAATGGTAGCTATCTGCATTTCCGACCCTCGGAAAATCTAGCCATTCGGGATGACCAAACTCATTGCCTGTAAAATATACATCAAAATATCTGATTGCTTACATTTTTATTCAATCGTAATTTGAATGAATTTTGATGCGTATCTCGAGATACAATTGCTCACATATAGTAAGAGATTAATCTAAAATTATTATTTGTTTATTATTCACCTATGAAGTTTAGATAAGCTTCGCCGCCCAAAGCATGCGTAATCAGCGTGATTATATTGTGAAGAGCAATGCCACGAGAAATGATTTCACTGTGTGGACTCAAAGTGCTCATGTGTGTATACATTTCTTTATCCATGAGCCAAAACGCAATCGTCTTATCACCAACGAGGGCCTGATCATGAGACTCGGAATAAGCAACCGCTTTCTCCATCCATCTTCGATTGGAGAGTGTCCAGCAAATCTCACCAACCTTCCAATCATCGTCTTTGACCTCTTTTAATAATTTAATCCATTTGTCAGGAATAGCCATGGCTAAGCGGTAGTCAAATCCCATACCACCTTCAGCGACAGGTCTTTAGTATTTTGTGAAATATTTATAAAATTATTTATATAATTAATATTTTCATCCACTTTGATTTATGGAAGTTAATATAAGTTTTGTACCTGCAAACACCTGGCATTCCACTAACATCTTCGGCAATTGTGACGATTTCGGGATATATTTCATGCAACATATGGTTAGCAAGCATTAAATACACTATGCCCTCCACATCAACGTTCAAACCGTAATATTCATCATAATGACCACTGAAACCTTGTCCCAAGCCTCTTGAGTGATACAACATTGATGTGACACCATCAAACCTGTCAAATTATTGCAATTTCAATAAAAATTTATTATATTATGTATGAAAATCACTAACTTTTGTATAATTAGATCTGTTCTTATAAAAAATTAAGTACCTGAATCCATCAAAACCGTATTCCTCGATGTACCAACGCAAATTGGATAATAGAAACCGAAGTACCTCGTATTCCGCGTAATTGAACAGCCTACTGTCCCACAGCGAGTGTTCGCCGCGAGAACCGCTATGGAAGAAACATGCGTCTGTACCATCAAACATATTTAGTCCGTCCAAAGTATTCTTCGAAGCATGCGAATGTACCACATCCAGCAAAACATAGAGACCATGCTGATGTGCCACATCCACTAGCTCTTTTAACTCTTCTGGATTTCCATAGCGAGACGAAACCGCATAGAAGGAAGTCACCTTTGATTTTAATAAAAAAAACATAGAGCTGAGTCACTAAGTATAAGCGTATTCAGGCCTATGACGGTCAAAGCTAGATCTTTTTTGCCTAAATAATTCCCTTAGTAATATTCTTCGCAATAATCAGTATATGTAAGAACAATAACGCTTTTTTGCAGGCAGCGTGTATAATCAATAATAAGATTTTTTTTATTCGGACCGACAAGAATTAAACACTAAGTATAAGCGTATTCAGGTCTATGACGGTCAACGCTAGATCTTTTTTGCCTAAATAATTCCCAGTGAATTATCTATATCCTATATATGTACACGCATATATATCATATTTTTGTAGTTATTCAAACTGCGCGCCGCGCAAAGTCCCGGCCGAGGTAATATATTTCGCAATAAATTTATTTAAAGTTTTCAGCAGATTGTCAATTTAATTTAACTTGTGATATTATTGCAGTAGTTTAATTGCGTTAGATAAAGTCCGGAAAAATTTCGGCGCGCAGTTTGAATAACTACAAAAATATGATATATATGCATGTACATATATAGGATATAGATAATTCACTGGGAATTATTTAGGCAAAAAAGATCTAGCTTTGACTGTCATAGGCCTGAATACGCTTATACTTAGTGTTTAATTCTTGTCGGTCCGAATAAAAAAATCTTATTATAGAGCTGACACTTGTATACATAATTATATAATTAATTTTAAAATTGTGTATATAAATAATACAACCTGATATCCAAAACTAGCATAGTAAGCGTGCTCCATGATCGCCATTACTTGTATCGTGTTGTATCCTTGCTTTACAATCCGTGGTATCACATCCCTAGCAAATTCCAAGTAGGTGCCAACGCGACATTCCTGAGTACCAATTCCAATATGACATTCATAAATTCTGAGACTCTCTGGTTTCTTTGGTTTGGGATGTTTGAACTTGTATGTCTGGAAAAGAAGCATTACAAATCTCTTTGTCACATGCCAGAAGCACTTCTAGTGATAACTATCCAATACATTTTCTGGATGCCATATACGTTGTTTGTAAGTAGTCCCTTCAGATTTATCCGGTTTCTGTGTTACATAAGTTGCCCAGGGACTCAATCTTTCAAGAAGCTCATTATTGTGACTTTTGATAATGAGCTTTACTTCAGAGTTATGCTTCAAAGAACAACTGCCATCTGCGTTCGGAGGCAGATGCAATTCCCACTTACCATATTCTAATTTTTTATATGGTGTAGCAGTTTTTTGCCAATTATCTATACAATGAAATAGTTATACTAACTAAGGATAATCCTGATTGAATATTAAATATATTAATGTAATCATAAGAAATATACATACTAAACTCTCCAGTTAGAAATACTTCCTGCGCACCAGGTGCCCATTCCTTTGCAACAACACTATTGTCATCTTGGACATGAATACCAAAGTTCTCATATGCAGTAGTAAATTGCCTGAGGTCCCCATCTCCCTCTTCTATTTTTTCAATGTAATCCTTAAACAGGGCATATCTGGAAAGGTGACGTAGCATTACCACAGAATATTTTTAACGAATTAGGAGGGATGTCGCAAAGTAGTGCAAATCAGGCATAACCTTTATATATATAAAATTGCCACAAAGAAAAATACCTTCGTCGAATGTCAATCTCGTACTGCTTCAGATATGGGTCCCTCTCGAGGAGGGTCTTTATCTCCGGTACCTCAACTTGTGAGGGATCCATGCTGGACCACTTGCCACCCATGTTTTTACCAGGATACTTTATGCACAATTAACGAAATTGATAGCGTGATCGCGGCATGGACCGGCTAAAATTTGAATGTCAGATCAATGTCACGATCCCCTCTCCGTTCGACGTCAATTGGTCAGTGGAATGTAAGTGTACTGTACTTGGTACCCTTAGTACTACTGTATCTTCGAAGATGTGGAACGGAACTTAAATCGCATGGCAGCCGGATATAACAGGAAGAAAAAAAGAGATGTCACGTGGCTATACCGACTTATGTAATCACGAACGAACACGCATTAACACGCACATCGCGTGACGTCGTGAGAACGATAAGTTTGGCGGCTCCTAATCTGCACGCCCACTCCTCTAAGCTTTGACACCATGTGCCGCCATGTCTATTCTCGGAGAATGTTTACTATTTTTAATTTACTCGGCACTCAGCAAGCGAAACATGGCGGCCCTGGCGGAACTTCAGGTCTAGGGTCGGCCAGGGTGGGCTGGAGGCTGGAGCGAACGAGTGAAGCAATCACGCGTGCAATTTGTAATTGCAAATGAACTCAGAAATAATCAAAGTTACAGCATTAAAGATCGTAGGCGATATCTTACCTCGTGGGATTTTGTCTCGTCGCATGCCGAGAATAATTTCGTTTCATCTTTTTTGAAAAAAAAAAAAAATATATAAAATTGGACGATTGGAGTCTTGATATGGTGGTGAAATATCGTCATAGATTTGTTCTTCGTAACTGCATGTTCTGTATATT